ACCAGTTATTTCTTTGAAGATCGTGATATTACACGTGTAGCTTAATGAAACGCATAGCTTAACGTGTTTTTTTTCTTGTTTCCACATCTCTTGTCGAATCACTATTTGGGTATCCAACAAACTTTACATCATTATTACTAGCATAAAAAATTCTATTAGTTAGAGTATCTTTGATATAACAAAGAATTCTCTTTGCTCCTTACAAATGACAAACACGTGGCTCTTCCTTAAATTTATTAAGAAACTTTACTCTAAATACTATATCTAATCTAATTGTAGTCAGATATCTCAAACTTCCAATCAGACTTTTGTACCGGGCTGCATCCACTTTTCTACCTTCACTTTCTTTTGTTAGCTTTAACTTTTCTTCAACTGATGTGGAAACTAGCTTTGAATTCTCCATCTTGAATTTCTTTAAAATATTACTTGCATATTTCTTTTGGGAGATAAAAATTCATATTCTTGTTGAATGACCTCAATGCTAAAGAAAAATAGGACCTTAGGTCTAAATATGTCATCTCAAAACATTTGATCATAACCTCCCTAAATTCTGCAAACATCTTTGAATTGTTGTCAGTAAATGTTAGATCATTAACATATAGGTACACAAAAGAATATCTCCAATACCAAAACATTTAATATATAGAGTGTGCTCAAAAATACATCTCTCAAAGCCATGATGCACAAAGTATGAATCAATTTTCTTGTGCCACACTCTTGGTGCTTACTTTAGTCCATACAAAACTTGCTACAATTTATAGACTTTATATTATTTTCCTTTGACTACATATCTTGTAGGTTGTTGAACATATACTTTTTCTTCCAAAATACCATTCAAAAATGCATATTTAACATTCATTTGATATATCTTTCAATTATTTTTAGTTGAAAGAGAAATAATCATATGATTTGTATCCAACCTTGCAACAGGTGCAAATACTTTAAAGTAATCAATATTTGGTTTTTGCTTGTACCCTTTAGCCACCAACCTTGCTTTAAAGAAATCAACTTCTCCATTGGCATTGTACTTGGTCTGTATAACTACTTTAATCCAATAGGCTTTTTATCTATTGACAAATCTATTAACTCCTGCGTCTCATTCTTTTTAATAGTGTGAATTTCATTATCCATTGATTTTCTCCATCTCTCATCACTTGAGGCTTCTTCAAAAATCATTAGCTCACAATCTGCAAATAAAAAAAATTGATAATCTCCTCATCAAAAGGGTCATTATCATTGTCCACAATATAATCCTCCAATTTGGATGGTAGTTGACGATGCCTTCTTGGTATATTAGAAAATTCTAGTTCATTAGCAACTGGGTTTGGTTGTCCCTTAGACTCTTTATAACTTTCAAAAATCATTTTCTCCTTTTGGAATTTTGAAGACTAATCCCACATGCATTTCTCATCGAACGTGACATCTCTACTAATAATTACCTTATTTGTCGTATTGTATAATTTATACACCTTTGAATTTGAGTTGTAACCAATGAAAACACAACTTTCTCCTTTGTCATCTAATTTCTTTTTGAGCTAATATAGATCATGTGCATATGTTATGCATCCAAAAACTCTGAGATGTCTGGTCTCCTTCCACTCCATGTTTCTTTTGGTGTCTTTTCTCAAACTCTCTTTGTTGGACACATGTTTAAGATTTAGACAACAATAGCAACTGCTTCTATCAAAAACACTTTAAGCATATCCATGATTGTTTTGTTCTTCCTTTTAACAACTCCATTTTGTTAAGACATGTATCTAGTTGTTAATTGGTGTTGATTTCATGTTGCTCAAAGAAATTTGTACATACAAGGTATTCTTGACCTCTGTTTGTTCTCAATGTTTCAATTCTACAACCACTTTGCTTCTCTGCAAACGCCTTAAATATCTTAAAGACATGACATGTTTTTAATTTCTACTTCAAGAAATATAGTTACGTTTTTCTACTAAAGTCATCAATGAAAGTAATAAAATATTTGCTACCACCATGAGTTGGTATCTCAAATGTGCACAAATATGAATGAACAATCTCCAATAGCTTCTTGGCCCTCTAAGACACTCCAATTGGGAATGTTTCTATGTGTTTCTTTCCAATCTCACACACCTCACATACACCATTAGGAATATTCATAACAGGAAAGCAATAAACATATTCTTTTCTTGACAGATAATTTAATCCAGAAAAGTGAAAGTGTTCAAAGCGCATAAGTCAAAACCAATCATCATTGAGAATAATTGAACTCAAGCGAGAAAACTTTTCATGACAAATTTTTAAAGGAATAGGCGACTGAATTCATTTTTACCTTAGCTATAAATCTTCCACTTTTGTCTATCAACGTCCATGATGAATATGTATGTCATAACCTTTCTCTAATAGTTGTCTCATACTCAACAAATTGTGATGGAGACTAGGAGTATAAAAAACATCAGAGATAAAATTGTGAACTTTCTTTCAATTTGATAACAATTTGGTCTATCCCCAAAATAGAAATATTAATGTTGTTTTCAAATTTCATAGTAAATTCTATTGTTTCTCTAAAGATGAAAATAACTCCCTTTTCCCCACACATATGATTGCTAAATCCAATACCTAGATACCAAACATTTTCATCCTTGAAAAATCTATTGCTTGCCAAAAATAAACCTTGTAGGTTGTATGAATTCTCACCAATATTTTGATGACCTTCTACCACGCTCACCTATTGTTTGAATCTACAATATGCAGCTCTGCGTCCAAACTTTTCTTAGTAGAAACAATTAAAATTTTCTCTTTGTTAGTAAATTATTACCACGCCCTCTTCCTATATTGGTAGCGTCAAAATTATTTTCTCCTCTTCCATGATTCAACGATACAAAATTATTATCTCATCATTGGTTGGAATTTTCTCGTCTTTTACCTTTGCAGTTTCCTTAACCTCCGTCTCTATAACTTTGTCTTCCTCCATTATTGTAATTATCATGACCTCTACTTTTTGCACTTTGACTAGTTTCGGCTACATTGTTGAGATTCATCTAGCTTTTTAAAGCTTCTTCATTTGCTTTTTTCATCTTCTCTAAGATTCTATTCACATGACTTTCCTACAGCTTTGCTACAGTCATTGTGTCTGTGTCATGAGACTCAATTATTGTAATCATCATATGATCAAACTTCTTTTGCATTGTTCGAAGAATTTTCTCCACGACTTTACTATCAGGAATATCTTTTTCATACACTCTTATCTTGTTGACGACATTTATAACACATGAAAAATATTGTTTCACAGATTCAGAATTGGACATTTCATACCTTTCATATTCCCTTCGTAGAAACTGTAACTTTGATTTTTTAGCCTTCTCAACTCCTTTATATGTTAGCTTCAAAATATTCTACACTTCTTTGACAATTTTGACATTTGTAATTTTGCCAATAATAGAATAGTCTACACCTTAGTGAATTTGTGACAACACCAACTAATCTCTCCTCTTACCAATAGCATCAACTCCTTTTGCTAATCCTAGTAAAACAAAGTTTCAAATATTGTAAGCTCTCAAATGTGTGGTCATCAAAGTCTCCCAATAACTAAAATCTAATTTCCCATCTAACTTGGGACCAAATCAAATAATATTATAAATTAGTTGACATATCTCTCTCTTAAAAATATAACAACTCTTTATTTTATTTTTGACAAAATGAGAATCCTCTTATTCCTCACAAGGTCAAAATATTTTTTTTTTACTCACATTATCACCAGACTCTCTAGTTCTGATACCGATTAATATCAGTGGGATAAAAATATCGACACACACATGTGGAAATGAGAGAGAGGGAGATAGCGATTTTGAAATCAATATATTGATTCACTTGAATTCACTCTCAAATTTATTTGCATTCAGTACTGTCTTTTACAGCCAAAGAAAAGTTAATAAAATATTAATAAAATCTAAACTTAAAGTCCGAGAAAAAAAATGACGATGACAAGTTAGCTTTTCTTGATATAAAATCCAAAATACTAATACTCAATTGTTAAGTAAGATTTCAGACAGTGCTACCATGATGTGAAGCTTGATTTAAATTTTTTTTTTCTGACATGAGATGAGATGATACAATTTTGTGCTCCATCGATAGAATTTAAAACCACTGCTTTGTTTTTTTTTAACCTCATTCTTTGCTACTTTTAATTATGATTATCACCTTTCCCATTTTTCCTCTCTTTAGCTTCCTCTACTTTAATTATCATGTCATTATGTAAAATATATAATGCAGACAAATGAACTTGTAAAAATAACTTTAATCAATATAAAATATAAAATTAACTTACCCTATAGTAACAGTTTGAGTCAAAATCAAGATCAATAATAGTAGAAATTGGTAAAATTAAATTCAAAATCTTTTGTGGCACGACAATACTGTCAACTAAAAAACTACCTTAGTGGAGAACATGAAATTAAATTTGTAAGCGTTTGTTTTGTAGCACCACCGTTTTTACTAATGTCAAAACCGTGAATAGAATAAACACATCGTTTACGAAAATGTTTTTCAAATTTGTAAATAAGTGTCCATTTTACTGATGTATGGATTCGATGTCCCAATAAAAAGAGTTAAAAGTCAGCAAGTAATTCTTAAATATAATTGTATGAAGTGAAATGAAAGATTTATAAATGTTAGGAGAATCAAATATTTTTATTGAATCAAATAAATGCTACGACGCTTTATTGTTAATCACTTTTTGGCTGGTGTGGATGCCATTGCAGTTTGCAATCAGTATGTGGACAATCTTCTTGGGATAGGTGGTCTTGAGGATAATAAATTGTGATGCTTATTCGGTCCACTTGGGTGAGAAGAAAGCAGCAATAGGTGGAGTGTTGTGAATTGTGATATTCTTCTTTGCTGAATAAAAAACTAACATTCTCATTCAAATTCTATGAAAAAGTAAAAATTTCTATGTCAAATGCTCTCTTGAAAAAATTATTAAAAAAAATGTGTTATTTCTATTTTTGCATTTCAGTATTTTTATTTAAAAATTAATCAAAATAACTTTTATCGGCGTGATACCCAGCAGCAACTTCACCAAGTTCGAAAGCTTGCTTAAAACCTGCAAAAATCAACAGAAACTCCACATACAACCCATCCAAGGTACCACATTTCCATCAAACGTCTCAAAAATACAATCTTTTTTGACATGCATCCATTAAAATCAAAAACACAAATTTCACCCAAAAACCCTGAAAACCCCGAAAACAAGTTTTCTTCCATCTCAGCCAAAATCACCACGACATCAACAACAATGAGCTTCCAGAACTCATTTTCAGCCAACAATCTGCAAGAACCTAGCTTCCCTTACCTCGGTAGAAGAATCTGAGCTCCGGGAAGAAGAAACGGGAGAGAAGAAGCTTGAAAGAGATCAACGAAGAAGAGAAAAGATTTTCGGCTTCCAGCTAGCTTTCAATCACGAAAATCAGCACCTACACACCTAAGAGTCCAGAGAATTTGAGACCAAGGCAAGCAAAAGGAAGAAGAGAGTGTGAGTGAAGGGAAATGAGAGTGAGTGAGAAAAGAGAGTCGGGGAGAGAAAAGGAAAAGGAAAAATGGGGTCTCACAAAGGCCCTATCATCAATATCATCAACATCATGATAAGTCTCACATGTAGTAACATACATACCAAAAACAATACAAAAAAACAAGGAGTGGGAAACATCTCATCCTGTCTCATAATGCAAAATGAAGCTGGATAAGTAAACACACAACTAGGGATGTCAAAAAAGAATTCGTACCCACAGATATTTGCAAATAAAATTCACTATGGGTAGAAAATGGATATTATAAATGAGTACTCCCCACATGTTAACGAGACTGAGACGAGTACTATAGTATTTGTACTCGTAAGTACCCACTAATATTTAATTTTGAAATTAAATTTATTTAAATTTATGAGAATAAAGTATTTTAATAATCAAATTTAGTTTTTAAATTGAGGAATTTTGATAAATAAAATTATATATAATATTTGAATAAATTAAATTTGGACTTTTAAACTGTCATTTTTAAAGAAGTTATTATAATCGGTAGAAATTATTATTAAAATATTTTTTAAAAAATTAATTATTTTTTAAAATAAATATCCATGGATGTTTGTAAATACGCGCAGATATTGAAAAAGTACACATATACATGCTTAACAAGTACTACACAAATATGGGGACTTTTGACGGGACGAGTAACAAGGGGCTATTATCCATACATGCCCTGTCTTGTTGAAATCCCCTACACACGACAACAAATATAGCATCACACACACACACACACACACATATATATATATATATATATATATATACATATATATATATATATATATATGTGTGTGTGTGTGTGTGTGTGTGTGTGTGTGTGTATATATATTATTGATTTGTTGATTTGTCAAATATGCATATGATTCGTGTCGCACGAGACTCTGCAATATCATGTTATCATGATGTATATTTACAATGATTTACCAACACTAATATCGATTCATGTCATGCACAACATTCATTCATTACAATATTATAAAATCATATTCGAACCATCACACTTAATCATATACATCCAATAACATGAGAGTCATCCAAATCAATAACTATTAATTACAAACATGAATAGGTACTAGGTACAGGATAACGCTAGCGACAACCATCCCATGTCCGGTGTGGTGCACCTAGAGAGCATCTGTTGTAACAGCCTAATTTTCACTAGGCCAAGAGCCCAATTAAGGTGGTTTAGTAGGCCGGAACGGGCCATTCCAAAATTGGAACGGGCTGTTCCGAGTTACTAAATAGACCTACTTTTGGTAGCCCGGAACAGGCCGTTTCAGAATTGGAACGGGCCATTCCAAAATACAAAAATTATCTACAAATTTTAGCTGGGAACAGGGCGTTCCCAAATTGGAACGGGGCGTTCCCAAATTGAGAACGGGCCGTTCCAAAATATGATCGTTGTGAGTATTAAATGCACCCCAGAACGGGCCGTTCTGGTTTGAAAACGAGTCGTTCTGGATGTGATTTTTAATCGTGAGTTAAGGGTCCAGAACGGGCCGTTCCGGATTTGGAACGGGTCATTTTGGCGAAGCCTAATGCCTATAAATAGAGCACTCTGCCACTCCCAAAAAGCATACCTCTCATTTTCTGAGTTCTTTTCTTCTATTCTCTCTTCTCTTCTTCTGCACTCTCTGAAGACCGAGGGGAACCCAGCAGAGGAGATCAACCAGATCCTTAGTTTCAGCCACTGTTTATCCAGGTACGAGGGAAAAGGAGATTATTTATATGTAGAGTTACATGAGAGAATTGGGTAGATGAAGAGTCCTTAGGATTAGGAGTAATTTTATAATTATTTCTGTTTGGAGAATTATTGATTTTATATGATTTTGTATGTGTTAAGGATTATGAATATATGATTAGTTTGTACAAATGATGATCTGGAAGAGAGAACGAAATTGTAGAAAAGTGTCTGTGAGTTAGGTTTTGAAAAAATTGGGGGTTTATTGTTTGGGTTAAGATTATATTAAATTGGCGATTTAATCTGGTTTTATATTAATTTATAAATATTATTATTACATGATTTGGTAAAATTGATTATAAATATTATTATTACATGATTTGGTAAAATGGATGATCTAGATGAGGATGAGGATTCATGGTGAATTCCTTGAGGGGTATGTGAACCACTATTTTGTGTGGATTGTGTGTGTATTGTGGAATT